GAAGCAGCAGCCCAGAAGTTATGTTACAGCCTGGATGAGATGTCGACTGTCCTTCTCTCTCCTTAGGTCCGCTTTGCTCTGCCTCAGGGGAACGAGAGCATCGGCCCTAAAGCCATCAACAGTTGCAGATATTGACTTTGAGGCAACAGTCACTGAATGCCTCATAGATCTGCGGCTCGAATAACTCAACACAGCTCGGATCGCTACTTATGTACTGTATTAGGATAGTTAATATTAAGGTAATAAAATGGTGGCGAAGGTGTGGCTATTGGGGGAGGCTGGAGGCCATTTGTAGGAGTATCCCGTCCACGGGTACTGAGCCAGCCAGGGAGGGAGGGCCCTTATACCCTTCTCCTGGCCTTCACAGGATATAGTGATGATGATAATAGCAGTAATGATGATGATGATAATGATCTCTAGAAATGATAATAATGATAATGATGATGATCTCTAGTAATGATAATAATAACAATAGTAATAGTCAATAAATACTGTACTGCAGTTATCATCGTATAATAGCATGTGTTTTGTTTAATATGTGTTGTAGTGTGAATAAGTCTTGTCTAGTGTGTTATTATATGAACAGTTGAGTAATGTGTTATGGCGTACAGTATGTAATGGGTGTACACTGTGGATGGCAGTCATAACACACACCTGAGCCACACGTCGTAACATTAGCAACCTGGTCTCTTGAGTGTCGGGTGTTACTCATGACATCCTCTGGGCAGACAGCCTTATTTTATGACGTCACATCTTTGGTTTATGACGTCACATCTTTGGTTTATGACGTCACATCTTTGGTTTATGACGTCACGTGTTCGGTTTATGACGTCACATCTTCGGTTTATGACGTCACATCTTTGGTTTATGACGTCACATCTTCGGTTTATGACGTCACATCTTCGGTTTATGACGTCACATCTTTGGTTTATGACGTCACTTTTTTGTTTATGACGTCACTTTTTTATGACGTCACACCTCGTAAATCCTCTCCTGTGTTGACTTAATTGCAAGAGGTTGATGACGTAATGATATGCAAATGACTGGAGTATATTGAGGATCTTGTCTTTATAACTTTCATTCTTTATCAAAATTAATAAAGTGTTGAGGAAATTAATGTGGATTACCTGGACGTTTGGCACCCCAGTTTGTTTCACCTGGACGTTTGGCACCCCAGTTTGTTTCACCTGGACGTTTGGCACCCCAGTTTGTTTCACCTGGACGTTTGGCACCCCAGTTTGTTTCACCTGGGTCATCGAAAGAGAGTGCCGGAATTTAAATTTCTTGTTGACAAAAATCTGGGTATTATTTTTTCAATGACTCAGATTTTAACACACAACCATTTGAAATCTGGGGCCATTCTTTTTCGATGACTCTGCATATATTATCAAGGTCACATGATAAACCTCTAGGTTGCACTGTCACTTATGGCCCCGACAACAACACCTGGGATTGAATTGGTAGTTACATCACCTGTTATTACCTGGAGGGCGTCATGTCACGTTTGTAATTGTGATGATGATGTGTGTGTGTGTGTGTGTGTGTGTGTGTGTGTGTGTGTGTGTCGTATCTAGGTTAAGGCATCTCTTCTTATGTGTTTGAGAGAGTGTGATAGATAGATAGATAGATAGATAGATAGATATAGTAAAAGAGAGAGAGAGAGAGAGCTACCATAAAAATTGAATTGAATTGGATTAAGTTTGGTTAAGTTAGATTAAGTTTAGTTACATTAGGTTAAGTTAAATTAGTTAAGTTAGGTCAGGTTATATTAGGTCATTTTTATCTCGGTTGTACACTACTTGATGGTTAGGTCAGGTCATGCTAAAATTAGGTCATTTTTATCTCGGCTGTACACTACTTGATGGTTAGGTCAGGTCATGCTAAAATTAGGTCATTTTTATCTCGGCTGTACACTACTTGATGGTTAGGTCAGGTCAAGCTAAAATTAGGTCATTTTTATCTCGGCTGTACAGTACTTGATGGTTAGGTCAGGTCAGGTCAAGCTAAAATTAGGTCATTTTTATCTCGGCTGTACAGTACTTGATGGTTAGGTCAGGTCAGGTCATGCTAAAATTAGGTAATTTTTTATCTCCGCTGTACGCTACTTGTTGGTTAGGTCAGGCTATATTAGGTCATTTTATCTCGGCTGTACACTAATGGTCTCCACTCCACTATATACCCTGGACAGCTGAGGCGTTGTGTTGTACCCAGAAAGTTGCCTCCCACACGTCCCTCTGTTTGTTTTCACCACCACCCGTGTTTACACCTTGTGCCCTCGAGTAGCTCACTCCGTTGATGGAACACCCTGTTAATTTGGTCTCAGATGAGGGAGATTTATGAGACACCCTGTGAAATTGGTGGCAGATGAGGGAGAGTTTTCGGGGCATCCTGTTAAATTGGTGGCAGATGAGGGAGAGTTTTTGGTACACCCTGTTAGATTGATGTCAGGTGATTGTATACTTATGGGACACCCTGTTAATACGATATCTAGTGATGGTAAATACATTAAAATTCACAACATTGAACCTCTCCCGCCAGGTGCTTAATTACGTACAGAAATCCAGGTGAGTTGGGGAGGAGACGTGTGTATATTGCCACCAACACACACACACACACACACACATACACACACGGTCCGAGTTCCAACCCCGACGGTGTGTGTGTGTGTGTGTGTGTGTGTGTGTGTGTGTTAAGGGTAAGATGAGTGGTGCAGGGGTCAGGATATCGTGTAGCGGCGAGGTGTGTATGTGTGTGTGTGTGTGTGTGTGTCGGGGGGAGGAGGGCACCCAGGCTGGCACCCTTCACTCGTGATTGGTTGGCTGGTGTTGGTTTACCCTGGTGTCAGCTGACCACTCACCTTACTATTGTTGTGATGGAGGCAAGTTGAGGCTGGGGTGTGTGTGTGTGTGTGTGTGCGCGCGTGTGTGTGCATTAATGCCTTTATCTTATGCCTCTGTTTTGGGTTAATATCTTTCCCTTATGCCTCCATTGATGTAGCGACATAACACTGATTTAACCTAGCTAACCTAATTTAACCCGACCCTCATCTAACCTAACCTAACATAACCCTGATCTAACCTAACGCTGATCTAACCTAACCTAACCTAATTTAACCCGACCCTCATCTAACCTAACCTAACATAACCCTGATCTAACCTAACGCTGATCTAACCTAACCTAACCCTAATCTAACGTAACATAACCAAAGCCCCCAGGTTACGTTAGGGTGTTAAATTTTAAGGTTAAATAAGCTGGGGGACTAAGCTTCATGTCATCCTCAACGTATAACACATTCATAAGCTCATAAACTAAAAAGAAAAGGCTTGTTCGTAGAAATGAGTTACCAGTTTAATACGTATGAGTTACCAGTTTAATACGTATGTTAGAAATGAGTGACCAGTTTAATACGTATGTAGAAATGAGTTACCAGTTTAATTTATATGTAGAAATGAGTTACCAGTTTAATTTATATGTAGAAATGAGTTACCAGTTTAATACGTATGTAGAAATTAGTTACCAGTTTAATACGTATGTAGAAATGAGTTACCAGTTTAATTTATATGTAGAAATGAGTTACCAGTTTAATTTATATGTAGAAATGAGTTACCAGTTTAATTTATATGTAGAAATGAGTTACCAGTTTAATACGTATGTAGAAATGAGTTACCAGTTTAATATATGTAGAAATGAGTTACCATTTTAATACGTATGTTAGAAATGAGTTACCAGTTTAATATATACGTAGAAATGAGTTACCAGTTTAATTTATATGTAGAAATGAGTTACCAGTTTAATTTATATGTAGAAATGAGTTACCAGTTTAATACGTGTGTAGAAATGAGTTACCATTTTAATACGTATGTTAGAAATGAGTTACCAGTTTAATATATACGTAGAAATGAGTTACCAGTTTAATACGTGTGTAGAAATGAGTTACCAGTTTAATATATATGTTAGAAATGAGTTACCAGTTTAATACGTGTGTAGAAATGAGTTACCAGTTTAATATATATGTAGAAATGAGTTACCAGTTTAATACGTATGCTAGAAATGAGTGACCAGTTTAATACGTTTGTATATAATGAGTTACCAGTTTAATGTATATGTAGAAATTATTTACCATTTTAATACGTATGTAAGAAATGAGTTACCAATTTAATTTATATGTAGAAATGAGTTACCAGTCTAATACGTATGTTAGAAATGAGTTACCAGTTTAATTTATATGTAGAAATGAGTTACCAGTTTAATATGTATGTTAGAAATGAGTTACCAGTTTAATATGTATGTCACACCACGAATTATAATTTTCCTTATACAGTGAAACTTCTATATAACGAACTTCTCTCTATATATATATTGCGTTAGATAGGGTTTAAGAGATCCTTGATATAACGGACTTATATCTCTATATAGTTCCTTAGATGGAGGTATCATATCTAACGGACTCTCTGTATAACGAATTGGTATTATTTTAACCACTACCATATCACGTATTATTATTATTATTATTATTATTATTATTATTTTATTATTGTTTATTATTATTGTGAAAGATGAATTGCAATTTATTATGCTTTAAGCGGCGATGTTACATGGAAGGACGATGAGCCAATCAGCTGACTCATGTAAACATGCTGATGGCCACGTACAGGTGTTGTGTGTTGCAAAGGTATGAGGCTCTCTCTCTCTCTCTCTCTCTCTCTCTCTCTCTCTCTCTCTCTCTCTCTCTCTCTCTCTCTCTCTCTCTCTCTCTCTCTCAGCCAATTACGTGAGAACAGGTGATACATAATAAGGTGGTGGGTTACTTTACCTGACACCTCCATAACTTAGGTAATGGTGGTGATAGTGGCAATTGTGGTAGTGGTGGCGATTGCGGTAGTGGTGGTAGTAGTAGTTGGTGTTGTGGTGATAATGATAAAGACGACATTGGTAATTATTGTTGTTTGCATTGTTAAAAGTCATCAGTGGTTAATAAGATTTTTTTCTTCCCATTTCAGGTAAGACTGTTGCCCCCCCCCCTGATAGTTCACGCCCAGCAGGTCAATCAAGGTAAGCAGGTGACCTTGTGTGACCTGGTACCTAGTTCTCTGTCGTAACTTGGGTCATTATTATTATTATTTTTATCATCATCATCATCATCATCATCATCCCATACGCCCTTGGGATCACTTGAAGACTAGACACAATGGGTTATTTCAACTGATATAATTAACCACCCTAGCGTTAACTAAACCTAATTTAACCTTACCTAATCTAAGTTAAACTATCCTAACCTAATCTACACTAATCTAATCTTAAGGAGGTGTAGTTTAAATAGGTGCGTTGAGGGTCCACTGGTTTCTCTCTCTCTCTCTCTCTCTCTCTCTCTCTCTCTCTCTCTCTGTGGCGTGGCCCGGGCTGCTGCAGTTATTTTTTTCCCCAGGACCAAGACTTTTAAGAGGGCCTGTGTTGGTGTTCGTCCTGGGAAAAATAAATAAAAAAAAATAAAAAAAAAATAGTCAAAAACACAACTATATTAAATAAGGTTTGTGTAATAATAATAAAAAAATATTAATTTGTTTTCCTTTATTTTTTTGTCATACGTGTGTTACTGGTATTATTCGTCCTGGATATTTGTAATTGTTTCTTTATGGTTCATGTTGATTCCCGCTGTTGTTAATCATCCTGGGAATAAATTTGTTTTAGTTTGTGTGTGTGTGTGTGTGTGTGTGTGTGTGGTAGGGGAAGGGGTGGTAAATAGAGGGTATGTGGGAAGTGGTGGTAGTAGTATAAATTGTGGTAGTGATGGTGGTAGTAGTGGTGGCGGCAGCCGTACGGGGGGATGCTAAGGGTGACCAGACGCGTTCGGCCGCTCTCAAGGACGCCCGGTTATCTCACCGCCCACCCTCCCCTCCCTCCCCTACCCACCCTTCCCTCCTCCCCTCCTCTTCTCGCCACTCCACCCTTCCCACCCCTCTCCTCCCCTACCCTTGCCTGGTCTCTATCGCTGCCTCTCCTCCTCCTCTTCTTCCTCTTCCTTCACTTTCTTTTAGTACCTTCTTCTTCTTCTTCCTTATCTATATATTACCATTATTGCCTCTTCCTCCTCCATATCTCACATCAACTTCTATCATTCTTCATCCCTTCTTCTTCTTCCACCTCCTCCTACCCCTCTTCCTCCCCCTCCTCCTCTTCCATCATTGAAGGAGGGGTGGAGTACTGTGTCCGGGGGGGGTGCAATAGTTAGCTTATGAGGTGGGTGGTGGAGGTGTTGTTAATCTTCTTTCTTCTGCTTCCTCTTCTCCTTCTTCTTCTCCACCAGCAGCAGGAGAGGCCCCGTCACCTGCCGCCTACAGGTCACCTCTTATATCCAGGGAGTGTGGGGGTGAGATGCCAGGTCCCTTCCAGGTCTTTATCAGGTCCATTCCAGGTCTTTTATCAGGTCCATTCCAGGTCTTTTATCAGGTCCATTCTTCCAGGTCTTTATCTGGTCCATTCCAGGTCTTTTTCTAGGTCCCTTCCAGGTTTTTTATCAGGTCGCTTCCAGGTTTTTTATCGGGTCGCTTCCAGGTTTTTTATCAGGTTGCTTCCAGGTCTTTTATGAGGTCGCTTCCAGGTCTTTATCAGGTCCATTCCAGGTCTTTTTCTAGGTCCCTTCCAGGTCTATTATCAGGTGTCTTTCAGGTCAAAGGTCAAACTAGTTTAAGAGGTTTTAGAGGTTATGATTGTGAGTAATGTTAGGTGAGGTCAGGTTAGGTTAGGTCAGGTTAGGTTAAGTTAGATTAGGTTAGGTTAGGTTAAGTTAGGTTAGATTAAGATTGGGTTTTATTTGACGAGTCACCTCACCATCTGGCGTCTTAGTGTGGATGAGAAAGTGAAATGATGTCTCGAGGAGGTGAATGTCGCTCCTGAGGTACTTGAGGGGAAGGGGGGGGGAGGATGAGGAGAGCAAAGAGAAGAAGAAGAAGACGAAGGAAAAAGAACAAGAAGACAAAAACAAGAAGAAAAATACAAAGAAGAAGAATTAAAGACAATAAAGAAGAAGAAGAAAGACGAGGTGGAGATAGTGGAGGACCTACTGTAGTCAGGATGGTAAAAAGTGGCCGCCGTCTCTCAGGTGAACACAGGTACTCAGGTAGTGGGTGACCAGGGGCGGTGACGGCAGCTGTCGTGTTCTCCCACCACCAGTACGGTAACAAGAACAGCTGCAGTAGTAGATAACATACCCCCTGTAGAAGTAGATTGTCCCCCCCCAGCAGTAGATCACCTACCCTCAGTACCAGTAGGTTGTCCCCCCAGCAGTAGATCACACACCCTCAGTACCAGTAGATTGTCCCCCCAGCAGTAGATCACACACCCTCAGTACCAGTAGGTTGTCCAGTAGATCCACACCCTGCCAGTCCACACACCCTCAGTACCAGTAGATTGTCCCCCCCAGCAGTGATCACTCACCCTCAGTACCAGTAGATTGTCCCCCCAGCAGTAGATCCCTCACCCTCAGTACAGCTCAGTACCAGTGGGTGTCCCCCAGCAGTAGATCACTCACCCTCGTACCAGTAGATTGTCCCCCAGCAGTAGAGCACACACCCTCAGTACCAGTAGGTTGTCCCCCAGCAGTAGATCACTCACCCTCACCCCCAGTACCAGTAGGATTGTCCCCCAGCAGTAGATCACACACCCTCAGTACCAGTAGATTGTCCCCCAGCAGTAGATCACACACCCTCAGTACCAGTAGGTTGTCCCCCAGTAGATCACACCCTCAGTACCAGTGTTGTCCCCCAGCAGTAGATCACACACCCTCAGTACCAGTTGTCCCCCAGAGTTGTACCCCCAGCAGCACACAGTACCCCACCACATCAGTACCAGTAGATTGTCCCCAGCAGTAGATCACACACCTCAGTACCAGTAGGTTGTCCCCCAGCAGCAGATAACACACCTCAGTACCAGATTGTCCCCAGCAGTAGATCACACACCTCCAGTACCAGTTGTACCCCCAGCAGTAGATCACACACCTCAGTACCAGTAGGTTGTCCCCCAGGATCACACACCCTCAGTACCAGTAGCAGTTTCACCCCCAACAGTGCCCCCAGCAGGACCACCCTCAGTACCAGGGTTGTCCCCAGCAGTAGATCCACACACCTCAGTACCAGTAGATTGTCCCCACAGCAGTAGATCACACACCCTCAGTAGCAGTAGATTGTCCCCCAGTAGATGACAGGTAACAGCAGTGAGATCACCTCAACAGCAGGGGATGACCCCAACAACAGTAAGAGTGAGAGTGAGTGGTGTGAGCAGGAGGAAGAGTGGGGTGAGTGGTGGGGGGAGGAGCTGGAGAGGGAGGAGTGGGAGTGGTGTGGGGAGGAGAAGAGTGGTGAGGAGTGGTATGGGCAGGAGGAGGAAGAGTGGAGTGGGCTGGTGTGAGGAGGAGGAGGGTGGGAGTGAGCACATGCTGTGGGCAGGAGGAGTGGGAGTGAGGAGGAGGAAGAGGGAGTGAGTGGTGTGGCCAGGAGGAAGAGGAGTGGAAGTGAGTGGTGTGAGCAGGAGGAAGAGGAGTGGGAGTTATTGGTATAGGCAGGAGGAAGAGGAGTGGGAGTAAGTGGTGTGGGCTGGAGGAAGATGGAGTGGGAGTGAGTGGTGTGGGCAGGAGTGGGGCCAAGTGAAGGGAGGGGCATCACCTGGGTACACCGTCCATTTAAAAGGCTTGTGATGGGAAGACTGACCTCATCCACGGTCCTGTGTGTGTGTGTGTGTGTGTGTGTGTGTCCCCGTTCATTACGCCCTATATCTGTTGGTTACTGTTGACATTTAACGCCCTCGGTCTGTTGGAAACGCACCTTTGGTATTTTGCGTGACCTCTGTTTACCGATTATTGTTGCTCTCTCTCTCTCTCTCTCTCTCTCTCTCTCTCTCCTCGGCAAAAATCAGTAGTAATTATTATGGATCACCTGAAAATTAGCCACCCTAATTGGATATGGTTAGGTGAGGTTGGGATTGGTTAGGTTTTAAATTAGGTTAGCTTTCGGTTTGGTTAGGTTAGGTTAGCTTTGGGTTAGGTTTGGTTAGGTTAGGTTAGGTTAGCTTTGGGTTAGGTGAGGTTGGCTTTGGTTAGGTTTGGTTAGGTGAGGTTGGCTTTGGTTAGGTTTGGTTAGGTGAGGTTGGCTTTGGTTAGGTTTGGTTAGAGTGGCGTTAGGTTGGAGGATGATGGAGATAGGTGAGGGAGGAATGGGGAGAGAGGGTGGAGGGGTGAGGGAGGAATGGGGTGGAGGGTGAGGGGTGAAAGTGATGTGTGTACCTCCAGGCGCTTCATCATGGTGGTGGGGGGGCAGAGTTGCGTGGTCATCTGAAGGAGAGAGAGAAAAGAAGCCTCATACTATACCAGTATACCTGCATTTCCTCCTTGGTGATAATAGAGTGAAGGGTGATGGGGCAGGGGAGGGGTGATGGGGGAGGAGAGGGGGGTAATGGGGAGTGGAGGGGTGATGGGGGGTGGAGGTGATGGGGAGTGGAGGGTGATGGAAGTGGGGGAGTGTGGGAGATGGAAAGAGTAGAGGGGGTAATGGGGAGGGTGATGGGGAGAGTGGGGGGTGTGGGGGAGGGGAGGGTGATGGGGAAGTGGGGGGTGATGGGGGAGGGAGGGGTGATGGAACGATGGGGGTAATGGGGGAGGGAGGGGTGATGGGGAGAGTAGAGGGGGTGATGGGGAGAGTAGAGGGGGGTGGAGGGAGCAGTGAGAGTTGGGCGTGAGGGAAAGTGAATGACCTCTTCAACCATTACAATACTGTTGGTTCATTTGTCTCACACCCGCCGGCCAATGGTGGTGGTTGTGGTGGGGGGGGGATTGTGGTTGTGGTGGTGGATTTTGGTTGTGGTGGTAGTGGTAGTTGTGGTAGATAGTAATGGCCACGGTTGGTAACATTGGTAGGTGGTGTGGTGGTGGTGGTGGTGGTGGGTTTGTTGGGTGGTAGTAGTAGTAATAGTGGTGAGATTGTGGTTGCTGGGTAGTAGTGGTGGTGACGTTCGCTGGTAGTAATAGTGGTAATTGGTGGTGGTGGTGGTGGTGAAGGTCGTTGGTAGGACTTGACTGTTTAAAGTGGTCGTTTTCGCCTTGTTAGAGAGAGAGTTGTTGTTGTCGTTGTCGTTGTCTTTGTTGTTGTGTCTGTATGTGTATGTTTGTCGTGTACATCAGAATCATTGAGAATGAAGGTTCGTGTATTATTATTATTATTATTATTATTGTGTGTGTGTGTGTGTGTGTGTGTGTGTGTGTGTGTGTGTGTGTGTGTGATAGTCAGAGTGATTGAGGGTGGAAGGCTTTTGTGTGTGTGTGTGTGTGTGTGTGTGTCAATTGAAGCTTGTTAGTTCATAATAACATGTAGCGATACACCGTCCTCTGACCCGCGTCTTGAAGGTCAACCACTCCCTGGGTCCTACCGCTGGCTCACTCACCACTCACTTGCCCCTCACTCATCCCTCACTCACCCGTCAATCACCCCTTAATCACCCCTCACTCACCCGTCAATCACCCCTTAATCACCCCTCAATCACCCCTCACTCACCCGTTTACTCACCCCTCGCTCACTCCTCGCTCACTCCTCACTCACCCCTAGCCACCGTCTTTACTCACATTTACTCATATCATTATTCACGTCGTCCACCTTTCAAAAGATCTACTTACCTTTACTCATACTGTCTTTTATTTACTCACATCTCGAAATTTGTACTCATAATTACTCATCGAAATTTTGTCTCGTATTTACCCATATCTTGAAATTGTATCTCATATTTAATCATCTTACTCATGTATCTAAGTTCTGAGTCACATTTACTCATATTGACTCACACGTTTGATGTATTATGCATGTATCAGTTACTCACCCTTACTCATAAATATTTAGTCGTCTTCGTGGGAATTTACTCATTCCTCTAGGTTCTTACTCACATTTACTCATTTCTGATGGTTCTTACTCACATTTTCTTATTTCTCAAGGATCTTACTCACAATTATCCATTTCTCACGGTTCTTACTCACATTTACTCATTTCTCAAGGTTCTTACTCACAATTAGTCATTTCTCACGGTTCTTACTCACATTTACTCATTTCTCAAGGTTCTTATTCACATTTTCTTATTTCTCAAGGATCTTACTCACAATTATCCATTTCTCACGGTTCTTACTCACATTTACTCATTTCTCAAGGTTCTTACTCACAATTAGTCATTTCTCACGGTTCTTACTCACATTTACTCATTTCTCAAGGTTCTTACTCACATTTTCTTATTTCTCAAGGATCTTACTCACAATTATCCATTTCTCACGGTTCTTACTCACATTTACTCATTTCTCAAGGTTCTTACTCACAATTAGTCATTTCTCACGGTTCTTACTCACATTTACTCATGTTCGTCCACCTTTACTCACTCCCGCTGTGTTTTACCCACAATTACCTGAGGGTTGATAGTAATTAACCTTTTACGACAGTGTCACCTTGGCTTGTGTTTCCCAGACCTGACCACACCTGGTTCACACAGCAGAGGGTTTTATGGTGTCTCGGGAGCACCTGAAGATTAGACACTCTAGCTGATTTTACCTGAATAGAAACTTTACCTTACCTTTAGTTTGCCTTGCCTTGCCTTGCCCTACCTTAGCTTCCTCCTACCTTACCCACTTCACCTACCTTGCCTTACCTTACCTAACTTTAACCTAACCTAACCTAACCTAACCTACCTTGCCTTACCTACCCTACCCACCTTGCCTTACCTACCTAACCTAACCTAACTCAACCTAACCTAACCCACTTTGCCCTACCTTACCCTACCTTACCTTGCCTTACCTTACCTAACTTTAACCTAACCTAACATACACGCCAGGTATGAATGATGGAAGGCGTGCAGGGAGACGTGACTTATGGCCGCTGGTGTGGTCTGGTTTAGGCTGGTCTGGCCACACAAACACACTTAACCTTGTGTGTTTTTACCCCTCAGATGTCTTGTGAAATATTGTAGGATTGAGAAGAGGAGAGTCGTGTGTGTGTGCGTGTTTCTGTGTGTGTGTGTGCTTGTGTGCGTTTCTCTGTGTGTGTGTGTGTCTGTCTGTCTGTCTGTATATGTGTATTTAATCAATTACCTATTTACCATAATTAGTACAAGGTAAATAACAACACAGGTATAACGAGGTAGCTACAACCATTAATTAATTACCACAGGTGTACAGAAACTTTTCCATCAACCATAACTGTGACACCAACCCCCCCTCTCTCTCAAACGTCTTCCTGGAGCCTGGCGGTGACAAGTACAACCAGAAATACAACATACGATCATTTTACCTCAAGTAGTCTCGTTGCCAGGGGGTTTATAGTTCTCTCTCTCTCTAAAAAAAATAAATAAAAAATGACCTGACACGTATTTTATTTTTATCTCGTAGTAAAGGTTAACTAAAATAGATTAACTTGATATCCAGACTTAGAGTTGAAGGTCAAAATGGTTGTCAAGATTCTACTGTGAGCTGTGAGTGATTTTTTTTTTATTTGTTATTTATTTGTGATTTTTTGGGGTGGGGGAGTCTTTGTTGGGTTGATTGTGGTTGTTATTGTTCTGGTGGTGTTTTATAAGTGTTATTGTTATTACTGTTGTTATTATTATTACTATTATTATTATTATTTCACGCCAGTTAGAGAGGTAATGAGTGATCGTGAATGATGGGAGAGAGGAGTGTATTTAATGTTCCTGTAGTGAAGAACAAATGTATAGAGCTTTGTGTTCGGGTGGCCGTCTGACGTTATGGGTAGGTGATGCTAAAGATACTGTGTGTGTGTGTGTGTGTGTGTGTGTGTCTGTCTGTCTGTGTGTGTGTCTGTCTGTCTGTCTGTGTGTGTGTGTGTTGGTAATG